GGACGGTGCGGAGCGGGAAAGGTGCCTCGGGGATCCGAGATCTGGGGACCCGGGAGCCGTGGGGGTGGGGAGCAGCTCTAACAGCCAAACATGTCTATTTCCCTTGCCTCCATGTTGGAAAAATCCAGGCTCCATATGGCTTCTCGGGAGGGAGCCGGTGGCTCCTGGCTTCCCCCCAGGGTCTCGCTGGAGTGAGCCACCCCCAGAACCCCACCTGGCCAGGCGCACCCCTGGAAGAGCCGGGAGAGTCACAATCGCGGGGGAAGCCCCGGGAGAGAGGATAGGCCACCTTCCAGGACTTAAAAAATAAAAAATAAATTAATGGAAGGAAGAAAAATAAAACAGGGAAGGAAGAGAACGGTTAGGCTCTTCTTATCAGCAGGAGAAAAAAATTCTGCCCAGGACCTGGTTGCTAAAAGAAAAGAAGAGAAAAGGAGAGAATCAGGAAGAGAGAGGGAGAGAGGGAGGGAGAGAAGGAGAGAGAGAGAGAGGGAGGGAGGAAGGGAGGGAGGGAGAGAGGGAGAGAGAGAGAGAGAGAGAGTCAGACACTGCGTGGAAGGAAGCTTAAAGCTTGTGAACTCTTCTTGAACCGAGATTGGAGTCATATGGGCCATAAATCATTGAGACATACTCTCCGCCATTCACAAACTGATAGCCTATTTTAGTCCAGCTTACCTTAGCCACCGACGAGGGGAGAACAGGCAGACATAATATATATTCACATCGAGCCCCAGCGCGAGCGGCAGGCGAGAAATCTCCCCTCCTTGAAGGCAAAGGAAAAAAAAGACCACTGTTTAAAGCGGCGTCGCCCCCCCTCCCCAACAGCCACCCCGGCTGGGGAGCCCGAGGGGCAGAGCGGCCGGAGGTGCCGCGCGGCGTCCGCTTCAATTCACTCGGCTTAGGAGCGGGGGGTGCGCAGGAGGGAGGGGGTGGAGGAGCGGGGAAAAAACAGGAGACCGAAAGGTGCTTGGGCTGCTGGGCTCGCCGAGGATCCAGCTCCGGGCTCCGCCACGGCCAAGTCGCCACAGTGTGGTTGCCCTATAAGACTGGTACGCCCTACTCTCCGTAACAATGGCCTCTGCTTTTGCACAGGGAAAAAAAACCACACAGACACATACACACACACACACACACACACACACACACGCTCACACACACACCCCACCTCTCCCCCTTTAGCGGGCTTAGATGCCTGATAAGGAGGGAAGGTGATGGTGGTATTGGGGGAGAGGGGATTTTTACACCCCACCCCACCCCCACCCCAAAAAAAGGGTGAGTAAGGAAAGAAGGTAGAGGTTTGGGATTTTTTTTTTTTTTTGGTCTTTTCATTTTGTAAGAACAGGTACATTTTTAAGTGGAGATTTTGGCAGGGGAGGCAGGGGGAGCCAAGGCAAGGGAAGCCAGTTGGAGTTCCCAGCTCTTACCACCCCAGTGATAAACCATTATGCTAATTGAGAAGGAGCTGTTGGGAGGCCTAGTCAAAGGCTCTGTGCTCCCCGGGGGTGGGGTGCGTGGCGCCCCTCTGTATTCATTTGCAGTGGAACACTAGGACGTTTTTTTTTTTTTTTAAGTAGTTTCACTCCTCTGGGACTGGTGGCTGGGTCTTCCGCCCTCTGGCTCTGGCTCCCTCCATCTGAATCTCCCGGTCTGCTGCTTCTCTCCCCACACCCACTCTATTCTTCCTCTCTCCCCACAAATTTCCAGACCCAGTTTCCAACTGGTAGGGAGGGAAGGCCAGATTTTTTTTTTTAAACAGCCCCCTCCTTTTTTTTTTTTTTTTTTTTTTTTTGAGAACAGACAACAAGCGGTGAGTGATTATTTAAAAATCCCAGACCATCTTGCAGGGCGAAGGGGGGCTGATGAGATGGTGACAAAAGGAGGACCCTGTGTTTCGCTTCAGCTCCAGACCGGCTGGCCAGAGCCTGTAAGAACCTCCCAGAGAAGTTTCTGTTAGGATTCTCACCTCTGGGTGGGCAGAAGGGGCTCGAGGTGATAAGGATATTTGTACTTCTAAGAAGATGAGAAGAACTAGCAAAATGGCTTAATTTTAAGTGAACCGGCAGGAGAGACAGAGGATAGTTGTTGTGGTGGTGGTTGTTGTCTATTATTATTATTATTATTATTATTATTATTAAATATGTATAATTCTTAAAGGTTGTGTGAAAATAGGCCATGGAATATATGGTATAAATTTCAAGAGAAAATGGAAATTCAGAACAAACCTGTTCTCTCAGCTCTGCAAGATGATGATTTGGCAGAAGTCAGGAAGATGATAGAAGCTAAACTTTTCTTAGCGTGTGTTTGAGAAGGGCGGGGAGGCCTGTAGGAGGAAGACAGGAGCCAGGAATGTAGGTGTCTGCAGATTTGGGTCGGGGGTGGGGACGAGTCCCGTGGGTGGAGGAAAAAGACAAAAAGAGCACCAGGGCATTCCCAAAAGCAGGAGTGTTTGCAACTCTGCTAACTGCTGACTCTGGGTTTAGGGGATAAAATAGGAGGCAAACGGTCTCTTTTTTTTTCCTACCAAGGCAGCTTGGAAAACTTGTTCTCTTAACTTTTTGTGGATAGCACCAGCCACTACCCCGTGAGCTCCTGGTTAGAATATTTGGCTTTTGCCTTCTCCCATCTGGATGCACCAAGGAGAGATGGGACTGGGAGAACAAAGGTGAGAAACTGTTTCCAGCTATTCTATTGTCTTCCTTCCAGGAGAGGGTGGTTGTGTCTGGCAAAGCTTCCCTCAGATCCTATCGTTCCTCACTCACAGGCTCTGCTTTGGGCTGAGAAACTCTTCTATTCCCATAGGAAGTGGTTCCTGGGCTCCTCTGCCCCCCCCCCATTTCTTCCAGGCCCCCTGAGTCAGACTTTCTGGGTTGAAGCAGTAGGTTTCCTGGGGCCCTGCTAAATTAGGGTTTGGGGTACCCATGGCCTCCCTACCCTCTAGCAACAAGAACCGCATGTAGAGCTTTCACTGTGATATTCCCAAGGATCCCACGGCCTCCTAGAGAGATGGTGGCTGAGAGAAAGGATAGATGAAGATAGAGGGTGGGAGCCATTTTTTTCTGCGTTCATCAAGAGTATCAAGAAAAGAAAATGCCCAAGCCAGACCCAATGCTGGGGCTCAAGCCATGAGCCTTGGAAGAGAGTGATTATGGCGGCATGAGGATGTGGCTGCAAGAAATCTGTCCTGAGATCTCTAGTCCCTGGTGAGAGACCTACAGAGTGGGACTCTATGTAGCTTTGGGTCTGGTGGGTCAGGGACTCAGCCCAGGGAGGCTGCCAGAGGCTTAAGGGAACCAGCACCTTTGGGTCTTTTCTCTCACTCCCCAAAATTAAAAAGCTAAGAATGTATCTCAGAGCCTCCATCTCTCCTAGCTGTTGCTAGAGAAGATCGTCATAAAATTGAGAGAAGAGAAAACCTGGTTGTTTGTGGCTCCAAAGCTTTGCATCAAGGAATAAAAAGAGAGCCTGGAGGGCACCCCGCCAGCTGCCGGCCTGCAAGCCCGGGCTGCAGGCTGATGGGGCCTGGAGCTGAGCTGGGGGTGGAGGTGCTTTCCAGAGTCAGCAGTGGACTATTCCCCTCCTGGAGCCTCAACTCACTGTGGTGCCTTCTGGCTACGCAAAGAACTGGGGTGTAGTGGGGTGGGAGCAAAAAGAACTGGGGAGCAAGAAAACTAACCTGGAGAAAAAGTTCAGAAGACATGCGCCCCCAAATGCGGTAGGAGATGAAGTGGGACTTCTTAGTTCTGGAAGGCAGAGCCCATTTGAAATGTTTGGGAGGCAATTAGATCCTATTTTGGTTTCTTTCTTGCCTTTTTTCTTCCTTTCTTGGAGATTGCTGGCTGGCCGGTTGCCCCAGACTGGGACAGGGAGGGTGGGGGGTGTGGACGGTAGAACAGGCAGCCCTGAGGGCTCCCATTTCGTTTGAGGTGTTGATGCAGGATTGGGACCTTTCAAACTTCAAGGGACAAAGGCTGGATAGTGAGGAGTGTGGGCAAGGACCTTGGGGTGGGAGACACCAGAGGGGTCTGAGGGGAGACTTTGGGGTCTGGAGAAGAGGAGGGGAGAGGGCTTCACCGATGCTAAGGGAGTCCTGATTCAGGGTTAGACTACAGAGAGGAGAGGAAACAATTTCTTCCTGGACTCAAGGCAGGGAAACTTAACTTACTGTGTGTGTGTGTGTGTGTGTGTGTGTGTGTGTGTGTGTGTGTGTGTTGAGAGAGAGAGAGAAATTGAAGAAAATGGAGAGAAAGATCAAGACACAGAGACCTTAGTGTAATCTAATAATTAAAGGCAAAAATTAACAATAAAGGTAAAAATTAGAGAAAATGTCCCCCTTCATAGACATTCTTTTCTCTCTGCTTCAGTCTCCAAAAAGCTAGAGTGCTCTCTCTGGCACTGGCACTCCCCTCCCCCACTCCTAATCGGTACCCAGTACCAGGGGACCCGGAGCACTTTAAACACCCTTGAGAAATCCCTGGCCGTCCAGCCTTCCAGGCCTTTGGGGGATCACGTCAGTTTCTCCCCGCCCTCCCCCCACACACATACACAGAAAATCAAAGAGCAAACGAAAATTCTCCTCTCACAAAGCACAAATTGGCTGGCCCCGTTAAAATCGATTTCTGATGATCAGCCTTGGGGTGACCAAGGATTCTGCCCCAAATTCCGACCGCAGGCTGATTGTGGAGGCGCTGGGACCTGCAAGCCCAACGAAGCATCTAGGGATCTGTTTCTCTCTGGTCCTGTCTGGTTCTCAGACCCACACTCTTCTAGCTTCATCGCCCAACTTTGTTGCAGCGGCAGAGTCTTGTAAAGTTCACACCCACACCCAAATCTCCATCTAAACATTCATAAAAATTTTCAAGCTGGGGTTGTAAATGGTAATTGCTACTGAAGACCGCTCCTGGTATCTGGATCCTCAAACCTGCCTTCCCCCCTACCCACCCCACCCCAAGATGCCGGGAGCAGGAGGGAACAAAGGGGCAGCCACACGCAGATTTGGCGCCTCTGCAGAGACCGGTGTAGACCTGGCTCAGCAGAAACGGGGATCGAAAGAATAAAAAGGCCACTAGGGTGGAAGAAAAATCCAAGCTGTACTCTCCCCACAACCCCAAGCGACAGGGTGAAAAGGGAGGCAGGAGAAAACAGGGCGACCAAGAGAATTTGCAAAGACTCCTCGGGTGACCGTGGAGGCCGCCTGAACGTGCTGAGGAGCAGTGGATGGGGCTGCCTCGGGCCAAGTTGGGAGTTACCGGCAGGCGGGCGCCTTGCTGGCACATGAGTCAATTCTGAATCAGGGGTCCCGCCTCAGCTAGAAACATGGTCCTGGCCCAGCTAACCCACACCCGCGGATGTCGAGACAAAGGTGGGCAAAGTAGAGAAGGCACCAGGGAGAGGGTCGAATCTAGGACAGCTGGGCAGGGCGTGGGGGTGCTGGGGAAGGGAGGGAGAAGCAGGCCCGGGAGGAACTGGGGCCCAGCCGCTGAGAGTGACTGCGCAGGTCTCTCCTGACAGATTGGATGTCTCTCTCCCAGTGACCTCTGTTTAACAGACAATAACTCACCGGATTAATGACCAATCAGCTGAAGGCCTTCCAAACTGCCTCCAAATATAAAACTCCAAAGTCGAATGGGATAGGGCCAGAGTCTGGACCTGCCAGCGCTCATATTCTCTCTCTCTCTCTCTCTCTCTCTCTCTCTCTCTCTCTCTCTCTCTCTCTGGCCTGAGACTCTGATTTCCAGAACTAAGATGAGTTTGTCTCCCATCTCTTCCTACTTCCTCCTGCACAACTCATATCCCTGCTCACACTTCCCAAGGCAGTCTGGGGAGCTCCCCCCTCCCCTCTCCCTCCTCATATCTCTGCTCCTACAAGAAATCTCTCTTCTCATAACCATTAAACTTCTGAGAAACTCCCACCCCTCTTGAATTTTATTTTCTCCCAGTGTGGGGAAAGAGATGGAAAATGAGAGCAAGAATTGGTGGGGGAGGGTCACCCGCCTTGCAGGCCTATCCTGGCTGCCCTGGCAGAAGAGCTGGTATAGTGGTATAGTGCCCTCTCCTAGAAAAAGAGGGTCCAAAGACCTAGGGGTCAGGGTGAAGCTGGGGGGGCGGGTAGCCTGTCATCATAGAATCTAAGTTCTAAAACCACAATTCCGTCCCTGGCTGGGGTAGAAGGGACTTTAAGAACTGCATTCTGAACAACTAACTCCAGCCTCAGCTGGGCACCTAGGGGAAGAGTGCCTTGCTCTGTGAGGTTGAGCCCTGCTTCCTTAGTGCCCCCTCCAAATGCCAACTCCAGCCCAATCCAGCTAGCAAGCCCCTCTCCACTGCCTTCTATTTCCATTGCTCTCAGAGGCCTGAGCTTCTCCTCTGATCTTCAGGAGGAGGAATGGTCCAGATGCCAGTAGATTTCCTAGAGCCAGTCTGAGTCACCACCCACTGCTCTGGGTGGGTACCAACCCCCTGTATATTGCAAATAAGCATGCAGTAACTTCTGTATGCAAGGGAGATGTTCCTAAGCACTAGAGAGTTACACCCGGGTCAGAGCTGGGAAAACGCAGGGATCATCCTGTCCACTCCTGTCATTGTTACAGATCCAGAAACTGAGACCAGGAAAATGACTTGTCTTAAGTCATCCTTGGGATAGGCTTGGGAGTCAGGAGGCTTAAATTCTAGGTGTTCCAGATTGGCTGTATGAGCTGAGGCAGAGAACTCCTTGGGCCTCAGTATCCCCTTCTGTAAAGCCAGAGCATATGTGTGGAGGGGAGGGGAGGGGTTGGGCCTGAGGTCCTTTTTGGACTGAGAGTTTGTGCTAATGTGAAAGTGAGCAACAACCAACAACACTAAGTTCGGACAATAAGGAAGAGTATTTCCTTTTGGGATTTAAAAGCTTACACCTCTACTACCAAACACCAACTCCATCTTGGTCCTTCTTGCCCCACAGAGGCTCACGCACTGGCTTTTACTGCTTTCCCGCTTGTGCTTGTGTGTGTGTGTTTATGTGTTATGTGGGGGGGTTGTTCTCCACCTTCGCCACCAACTCAAAAGTGCTGATTTTGAACACAGGAACCTTAGCAGTAAATAATTAATTTGTATAATTAGAGGAGGAAGGCTTCGACCTGGCAATTTTTAACCAAAATTCAATGCACCCATTGTACCAGCCTGGCCTTCTCACCCGACCCCCAACTCTGCCCACACACCTACCAGCCCAGCTTCCCAACTGCCTCCCCCCAATTGGAGACCAGCATTCCCAAGATGGACAGCAGGATTCACGGAGTCAGACGCTGCTCCCTCCCCACAAAGTTCTGTTCCCTACCTGCCCCCACCCCCTAGAAATCAGGCCGCCTGCAGCTGCCCTCTGCAGCTTGCTTTCCCTACCCCCTAGCTGTGCTGGGCTCCAGGTCCCAGGCTCCCTGCTCTTGGGATACGAGTAATCCACCTCCCCAGCTCAAGATGCCCCAACAATCCAGCAATACAGCGAGTTTGCATTTCAAGAAACTCCCATTAATATCAATTTACTTCACTGAAACCTCGGGTTCTTCATCAAGTTGATGATTTATGATAAAATCAATTAAATTACGGCCACTTAGGGCCCAGCCGCTTCCTCTCAGATTTCATTGGTGCAGGACCCAAGTGTCTGGTGGAAAAATGCAAGTTTAGCTGGAGGCGAGGAAAGATAATTCTGCGGCTGAGAAAATTTAATGCAAAACAATTTCCAGGCAAAGCTGGGGCGTCTGGACAGAAATGCAAGAGCCACCAGTTGGCCTGCGGAAATAACGATCTGGGGGTCAAAAATATATTTCTCCCCACCCCCACCATCCTGCTCTGTTCCCTTTGTGCTCCCTTGCCCCCCCTCCCCCAAGCAGCAACTTCAGGGGAATTTGAGCAGTAATGGTGGAACCCAAGCCTGCAAGGCCCAGCTTCCAACCACTGATCTCCCCTACTACCCCAGGCCTTTTCCTCCTCCCCCCCTCCCCTTCTCACACAGCCATGCTCACTAGTTCCTTAGTCTCCCACAGCAAAGTTAAAGGTTCAAAGTGAATATCAGGTGGCGCGTGGGCAGATGACACAGAGGGGCCAGGGGCCAGGGGCCAGGCCAAGTGGACTCTACTGCATGTGGCCGTGGGAGGAAAGAACGCCCAGGCGGAGCCAAACAGTGCCCCATGGCGAGGGAACGGAGCAGCAAAGTGTGTCCAGAGCTGCCCCTTCCCAGAGGATCAGGACCAGAGAACACCGGCCTCCCCCCAGCTCCCTGGGTGCCCACTCACAAAGCCATGCTGCGCCCAACAAACCCCAGCCCGAGAACTGACATACCCACGAACACACCTACACGTGTGCATGCGCGCATACCCTCCTTACACCTCACACAGACCCACCACACTCTGTGCCTCAAAGGGAGGTCCCACCATCTCCCCACATCTGAGAAAATAAATCCCGGAGCATCCACCTGGCGTTGCCTCCCGCCCCAAGGAGAGGGGCTGCTCCGGCCTCCGCTCTGTTTGGTTTTTGGTTTCCAAGGCAGGCAGGGAGTAAACACAGCTTCGCTGCAGCCATAAATCACCCCCTCTCCTACCTTCTCAGTGTAACACCCGGCCTCAGCGCAGCCCCTTGTAGTCTCAGCTTCAAATAGCCCGCAAGGTGCTAAAAGGCTGGGCCATGGTGGCAGCTGGGCTGTGCTGGCCGGAGCCGGGCCGGGCGCGCTGGCCCCTCCCCAGCAGATGCCCCTCGCCGCCCTGGAAAGCCCTCCACCGCCTCCAACACCCTTCCCCGAACCCCGTTCCTGTCCACGCACCACAGGCGCACCCCGTTCCTCCACTCTGCCCTGCATGCAGGGTCCCTCGACCCCCTCGACCCCCTCAGTCCCCACCGCCTCTGAAGTTGCCCTCATCTTTGTCTCCCACGGTTTGGATCGGGCCTCAGTGCGGACCCAGGAGAGAGGCCGGGCCGGGGTCTCAGCCACTCCGCTCCCCGCCCCGGGCTCCGCACCCACACTTACCTGTGCGGCTCC